TAAGTCCAGGTTAAAACATTTTCGCCACAACATTAATGCTTAGTATCGTTAAAACTGAATGAAAATCCATGCCTACCTCCATTCTGCGTGCTACTTCTCTCTCTGTCGGTCACACACACTCCTCAGCGGTTTCAGTCTATGGTTTCAGTGAGCGGGGTCAAACTTTTAACTCCGCCCACGTTGTACCTAACTTGAATTCTAATTTTATTTAGTTTATTTATATTTTAATTACCATGCCATACCATATATGATTTTGTGAAAAAGCTTAATCAAATGTGTTTTTAGTTAGCACGTTCCCCTGTAGAAATGAGTGCACTGGGGGCGAAGGAGACCTATCTAAAATGGCGGCCGGCCTCTACATGGGTTTTTTCAACATGGCGCCCGTTGCTCCCCACCCCGATCTGCGTACTGCAGTCAGGGGATACTCATTTATTCGGCAAATAATAAATTACAGGGCATGTTGTGATCTGTGGGGGAAACCGGAGTACGCAGCGGAAACCCACACATGCAAGGGGAGAACACGCAACTCCACGCAGAATGGTCACAGCCGAGTTTCGAACCTGCAACCTTCGTGCTGCAAGGCAACAGTGCTAACAACTGCACCACCATGCAGTCCAAAATAAATATTTTTACACATGAAAACATAAATCAATGTTATAAATGCAGATGTTTCCCAATTACATCGCAGCATTAAACCAAACCAAACATATTCTACCATATAACAATAATAAATAAATCACCAATGGGTTGACTGTTTAGTTTAAAGTGACAGTATGTATTTTTCCTGGCGATAGGGGCCAGTAGACACCTTAATTGTTGCAAGCAAGCTGTATTTTTGTGTTGGGAGTAAGGCGTTACCAACGGATGCCCCTTAGGGTCAAAAAGCCCCGGGAGTGCAAAGTTTAGCAAAATGACGAGCACATCAGACTCCCTTTCATCAGTGGCAACGAGTGAAGAGGTAACGTGTAAAACAACGTTTCTGAATGGTGAAAGTTGTGTAACCATTTGTTACAAATCAGTAAATGCATTTTGTCTTCAAGGGCTACCGTACAAGGAAACATGGCATCTAATATGGCGTCGCCCTGGGACTTAGACCCGCACCCATGTATTTTTGACCAGATTTTTATGGTTATATGTTAAAAAAAAAAAACAATATTTTTCAACAACTTTGCATCATTTAACTCACTTTCAACAACATTTTGATGGATATTTCCAGAGATTAATAAAAACTACTAGGGATAGACAATATATCAGCATCAATATTGGTATGGGCCGATGTTAGACATTTTTTTACATATCGGTTTGATTAATAAAACCGGACTGATATTAACAACCAATTTTTTTTCCCCATCTCGTCTCCATTTGTTTGCCTGTTGCTGAGGGTGAGGGGGGTGTTATGTATTTGTTTAGTCATGTGTGTTTAGTGAATGAAATAATCTCAGAACCGTAAATGTGTGGTGTGTGTACATAACATAAATTCAGCTTTAATAATTTTCATTCTATACAAAATCTGCTGATTTTAGAAGCATTAGTGTCAGTTTATCGGTATCGGCAAATATCGGTTATCGGCCATAACGGTGATCTTAATATTGGATATCGGTATTGGCCCAAAAATTTAATATCTGTGCATCACTAAAAACTACACATTGTCCCTTTAAACTTAGCAGTTTGGTTATTTTAACTTCCTTTATGCTGGTTTTAGACTGTTGTCTCAGCATTTGATAGTCTCAAGCCACTCCCTATTTCTATCTAAACCTCTGTTCCTGCTTCTGAGTACTTGAAGATTGTTTTAAGTCTGTTCTGATTGCTTATACATATTGTTAATGAACAGTCCTTTGTCTTTATGTCTAATTGTTTTATCTCATTTTTATCTTGTATTTTTTTTATCTTGCTTGTATTTTTTTGATGTAAAGCTAACTACTTGTCTGTTGTTGCTGCCTCTTGGCCAGATCGTCATTGTAAACAGCAACGAGTTCTCGATCGACTCATCTGGATAAATAAAGGTTAAATAAATAAAATCTTTCTTAATGGTTTTAATATTTTAGGAGAAATTCCACCTAGAAGTCAACCAATATTAGTTTTTCCACTGCCGTTACGGTGCAGATAGGTAGAGCTCATGGTCAGCCAGTGGCCGATTTGTGCTGCCAATTTTTTGGGGCCAATTTTCATGACTGATATCTAGACTAGGGCTGGGACTTGATTAAAAAATTTAATCTAATTAATTAGAGGCTTTGTAATTAATTAATCTAAATTAATCGCATTTTAATCTTTCAGGAAAATGTGCTCTCAAAGCAAAACTTTTAATTGAAATTATGAGACAGAGAATCAAACATTAGACATGGTTATTACTGTAAACTAAAGCTTTTAATAAAAAATGCATTTTAATTATTCAAATGTCACTGTGTGATATGAAACAAGACCCAAATCAACTAAAATTTATAATTACAAATAGAAAACGCCTGCAAAGGGTTCCTGAGCCTTTAAATAGTCTCTCTGTCTAGTTGAATGACTGAAATAAATTTGACTTTGCACCAGATTCAAATTTTTCCAGTTTCACTTGTTTGTATAATTGGGAGTTTTATTAGCATTTCTACTCATAATGTAGTAAAAACACATAAATAATAATCCTTCAAAATGACAGTAGAACAGGCACAAATATGATCTAGGACTTAAATGTACTAACTTTTAACGCCTGAGCAGGCATGGCATATTCTGAGAATGATCAGGAACACTAACTGGTTCCAGTTGGATGACTGGAGGATGATGGGAAGATAAAAGATCATGGCGAGGAAATAATGATCTGACGAACAGGTGAGCGGACCTTCCTTACATGGGAAGTCCTGATGTCACGATAAGAAGGGGGTGCTGCAGACCTGCAGATTCACGCCTGCAGCAGAGAATCTGGTGTGATCTCCAGCCTGATCACCACTTCCTCGTTCCTCGCTGCCCCTGATGCACTTAAGCATCCGCCCCTTAGCTGATGACAGCTTCTACACACCTCGCTGCTTAATGATAGCAATGCATGTGATGTTTAGACAGAGACTCGTCTCAGAAACGTATAACTCCCCGACAGAATTGTTTAGAAAATCATCAGAAACGTTTCAAGAGTGTTTCTGTTTTAACTTAAACTTCTGTTTTCAACTGTAAGACACGTTGTTTGTGATTGTTTACAGAGTAGTGAGAACACGGAGCGTTCTCCCAGCGGCAGCCAGGTGCCTCTCGTTTGTCTGACTACTTTCATAAACTACTGTTAGGGCACAGAATTATTCTGTCTGGTGCTTTCAGCGCTGCACAGATGTTACGTAAATGTTAAAAATATAGCTTACCGCTACTTTTGTAAAGTTCCCGGTGCCACCGGGCAGCCGCAGCAGAGACGAGCTCTGAAAAATGTCCGCGACACGGACTCCGTTGTTGTCTGGAAGTTTTTTTTTTCAAGTTAAGAAAAGAGGCGGAAGTGTTTCCTAAATCCTGCATCAGTCCAAGCAAGGCAGCTTCTTTCTGTTTTTATTCCGTTTTAGTAGCCATTAGCACTGTGCATTGTTGTGTGCGTCAGTGATATTCAGTCTACGAGGAAATCGTGCAATGACAAAGGTTCCGCCGTGCTTGAAATGCAAGCTGCGATTAAATGCGTTAATTTTTTAATGCGTTATTTTTTTTCTAATTAATTAATCGTAATTAACGCTTTAAAGTCCCGGCCCTAATCTAGACGTTTAGCACACTAACATTTCATTATTAACATCAGTTGCTGCTAGGGATGGACAATATATATAACTCTGGCCGATACCGACAATATCAACATCGGTATCGACCAGAGTTAGTCATTTCCTAAATATCGGTATTGGTCCAATAAATAAAACTGGGCCGATATTAACAACTGATATTTTTTCCATCTTGTCTCCATTTGTTTGCCTGTTTCAGAGGGAGAGGGGGGTGATGTGTAATTGTTTAGTCATGTGAACGGTGAACCTAATCATCTCAGATGTGTAAATGTGTGTGGTCCGTGTACATAATAATGTAAATTCAGCTTTAATCATTGTCATTTTGCTGATTTTAGAAGCATTAATGTCAATATATCGGTGTCAACAAATATTGGTTATCGGCCATAGCAGTAATGTTAATATTGGTATCGACCCAAAATGTTCATATCTGTGCATCACTAGTTGCTGCATAAAGTTTCTGAATCAGTTTTTAAACAGTGAATTTAACCAACTGTTAAATCTTAATTTTGTGCTCATCTCAGTGTTAAAATCAGACAGCTAACTAAAGTTAATCAAGCAAATCAATTAACTGACCGAGTATTAAATACTCAAACTGGTTTATAAAGAAATTTTTGATGAAAATAATTTTTAGAGCATTTATTTTGCAGATGTTATTCAGAAAAGTAAAAATGCATTTATGAAATTAAATTCTGCAGCAGCACCGGGCTGCCCGGGGATGTGCCCGACTTTTAATTAGCTCTACAAAAGACGCATATCAGCTGAAATTGATATGTCGTCTCCCCCGAATTGCAACAACTCATTATTGGTTGGTTGATTTCAGGAAACAAAAATGCTAAAGACGATCAGTTTGACAGAAATAAAATTGTAATTAATTTTAAGGTTTTTTTGTTGATTTTTTTCCAAGACTTTGTTAGCATGAACGTTTGTGTCATTGTGTTCGGAGCGTCTGAGGACAAGTTGAGGGCAAAAGGAGAGGCCTGAAGACAACCATCTACAACTGAATCTGAATTAATTTCATTGTAAAAAAAGAGAAAAGACCTGATTTGAGATGAGATGATTAATGAAGACGTGTTTTAGCCAACTGATGATGTAAAACACCTTGTTGGTGCTACTGAATCATTTTATTGACTATTTTTGTAGCAACAATTTTAATCCAAATCCCTGGAAATAAAGTGGAAAGAAATGGAGGAATCGGGACGTCTGTAGATTTCACAGTTTGTTATACTTGTTCTGGTTCACCATCAACTATTATTCAAGGTGTGATGTTTGGTCTTTCCTCAGGTTTGCTAAGAAACGATGGATGGTGAACTTGATTTCCCTCTTCATGGATCATCACTTCAATTAGTGAAACACAGTGGAGTTGCTCTGGATTACATCCTGAAAGTTAAATTTGGATGTGTGGCCTCTTTTGATGGTGTGCATTTTGAGAATGAGACGAGCTTTAGTCTGAAGAACAAACCCATTGCTCCAGAGAAAAGGTGTGAATTTAACATAAGTTCAGGGGTCACATTGTCTGTGTGGAAGGGCGATCTCACAGCTTTCCCAGCAGATGCTGTTGTGAATGCTGCTAATGGGTGTTTGCAGCATCATGGAGGCCTTGCTCGGGCTCTGTCTGATGCTGGTGGTCCTCGTATTCATCAGGAAAGTAGTGCTTACATCAAGAAGCATGGTCCGTTGACCACAGGAGAAGCAGTTGCTTTAGGTGCAGGGTTACTACAGAACAAGATGATAATCCATGCTGTTGGTCCAGAGCTGTCAATAAAGCCCACCCAAAAAGAAGTAGAACAAGCTGGACCGCTCTTAAAGATGGCCATCAGGAGTATTCTTGACATTGTCCAAAAACACCGTCTGGTAAATGTTGCCATCCCTGCTATAAGCTCTGGGTTGTTCCACTACCCCGTCCGAGAATGCGCTGAAACCATCGTGTCAGCTGTAAAAAACTACTACGAATCCTCTTCTGGTCAGAAACATTTTCCTAAAGAGGTATGCCTTGTGAACCACGATGATCCCACAGTCAGAGAGATAGAGAGGGCCTGCCGTCAGATGTTCTCTCCTCACCAGACCAGGAGCTACAGCCAGGCAACAGCAAGCATGCCGTCACTTCCTGTCCAGACGGGAAAGATCCGTCTGACACTGAAGAAGGGAAACATTGAAGAACAAAAGGTAAAAATGTTTTCTACAGTAAAAATGTTGACGTATAATCAGATTGGGCATCAATAGTTTGATCTAGGCTGATTTTAACTGTTATGTATTGGTTTTTATTCTGTTTCAGACGGATGTCATTGTAAACACTGCATCCCAAGACCGATCTCTGTGTATAGGTCAAATATCCAAAGCTATATTTCGTAAAGCAGGTCCGGAAATGCAAAAAGAAATCAGTGAGGCGGTAAAGACAAATTACATCATCTGCACCAAACCCTACGGGCTGCAATGCAAGCAGGTGTTTCACACCTTTTGCCCTGATAAGAGGAGTCATAAAGCCTCTGCACAGGTCAAACTTGTTTTTAAACCACAGCACATTTTTATTGGTGTCAAATTTCATCCAAACAAAGCCATTTGTACTGCTTAGGTTTGAATTTGTTTATTACAGATCCTTCATGCATCTGTTCTGGACTGCTTATGGACAGCAGTGACAAATAAACACAAATCGATTGCCTTCCCTGCCATCGGTACCGGAGCCCTCGGGTTCAGCAAACGGGAATCTGCCATGATAATGCTGGATGCTGTGGCTGGTTTCAGCCACGAGTGTCCGTGTGACCTGGATGTTCACTTTGTCATATATCCTTCCGACTACGGAACATTCCAGGTATTTTATCCTAACCGAATTCAGATTCTTTAACATGACTGCTGATGCTCACATCTTCCTACGTTTGTAATTTACCATTTTTATTTAGAAATACTTCTGCTGGTGTGAGACCTGCGGCGTTGTGCAAAAGACTTGGCTCACCTCTCACTTTATTATCGTTTGCTTTAGAAGAACTGGACTTTCTTCTGGACTGGGGGTCTCAAAGTTCAGACGTTAATTATTCTTTAGAAATTGGCAACTTTTTGGAAACACTTTATTATTTTCAGCGAAATTCACTTGTTATTTATTAGTTGTTAGGTCTTTGAACGTTTCTACAGCCTTTTATCCCTGAAATACTGCACCTGTATCTGACTCTCTTGTGGTCTGCAGAAGAGATGTCAAATGGTTCTGGAGTGATGAGAAGCTTAGAAAGATGTGTTCTACCTAAAGTCGAGGGTGCAGCCATTGTTCTGCTGGCAGGTGAAACTTGAAAAAGTAGAATCGGGTGCAAATTTGTATTTGTGTCAGTAATTCAGCTAAAAATGTGAAACTAATTATGAGATCAACTCATTCATGCAAAGCCAGACATTTCAGCCTTTATCTGTAGTAATTGTGATAATTATGGTGAACACATTACTTTATTATTGGTATTAATTTATCTTTTTTTCCAGGCTTTTCAAGAACAAATTACACTTTCCCAGGAAAGCCCATCACATCACAACTTTTCACTTGGTAAAACAAAGAAATAAAATTCAGATTTCATTTCAGTTCCAACATTATTTGTCAAATCTTCAGGCTGGCTGCTTTGGCTACTGATATTTTATATTTGAAAGGGAATGTGTTTAAAATGCACTAATTGTGACAGTATGCTGTTATTTTTATGGGCTAAAGAAGCTGTGTATATGATTTTATTTGAAACCTATGGATGCATGTGGAGTTGATTATTTAAAACTTTACCTTTAAAATGAAGATGCAGCTTTTTCCAGGCCTGTCACTGAACTGTCTTGTGCACCAGGACAGACATCTGCTGCTGCTGAGGCTGAGGCTAGGATAGGAAGCCACACCAGCAGAGCTCCAACCCCACTGATCGTTCTGCACGGTCCAACTGAAGAATCAACACGAGAGGCTGCAAAGTGGCTCAGTAACCACCTCTCCTTGTCTTCACGCTCTGTTGAGATTTGCAACAACTTCATCCAGCACTTCAGCGAGAAGAATCACCTACAGCTGTCCAAGATGGTTGAAGCAGGCGTGTCGATTGAGGAGTTTTTTGTACAAGGTCATGCTTGCATAACAGTAGATAGTGAGTCAAAGGAAGATACTGCTATTGCTGCATTGAGGGTGGAGGAAATGCTCTGCAAAATCCAAGAGCAGTTTATTGATGAAGAAAAATATGAGTTGCAACTGCTGTCAAATAAAGAGGTTTCCATTCGCAGAGAGATGGCTGATCTCTCAGACCCAATGTTCTCTGGCCGAAAAAGAGCCTTTTGTGACGGGGGACTGAGGATAATAAAGGTAACGTCAAAACTTCAAATCTCAATCAATCAAGATAGATATTTGGTTCTGGTTGGATTTGTGAGCCAACTTCAATCTGTAGATGTACTTTACAATTAGGAGTTAATACAAGTGTTGTGTTGCAGGTCACGGCAGTAGTTTTACTAACAAGCTGACAAGATTTTTTTTTAGGTGGAAAAGATAAAGAATCCTGCCTTAAATGAGCTGTTTGAACAAAAGACAAAACAGCTTCAGTGCTCAAGAATAGAAAAGATGTTCCAGCGCATACCTGCACAGTTCTGTGAGGTGATCCTCAACATTGGGTTCCACGCTGAGTTCGCTCCTCCTGAAGGTACGATATTCCCACAAACTAGATCATTTAATTTTTTGCAAGTAAAATCTAAAATATTCAATAGCTAATTTGCTCAAAGGACTCAGATTTTAAGATTGATTTGCTTTGCATAAACTAACCAAGTGGGAAAAAGTTCAAAATACAGGGGCCCTAATAAGAAACCCTGAGGAACTTCACGTCATTGGCGCTTTTTTTTTTCTTCTTGGAGCTCTGGGGAATTTCTTGCATTTCAAATGCAAAAACTAATCTAAAATATGATATAACCTTTGCTGTTGAGTGGATGGACCTTTTTATGAAGACGATGCTTGTTTATTTTTAATAACAGACCCAGCATATGGAGAAGGCATCTATTTTACCAACACTCCTAAAACTGCCATGAAGATCTGGAGGAGGTACGACGACGAGTACCTGTACTTCGTAGAAGCGGGCGTCCTGATAGGAAAATCAGCTCCGGGTGAACGAGGACTCATTCTGCCTCCTGTTGGACAAAATCCCAACATCCGCTACGATAGTGTGCACGGAGGAACTGATGTTGCCGTCATTTTTAGTGGTTATCAGGCTCTACCCAGGTTCATTTACACCTGTAGGAGGAAGTGAAGTGTTTTCTTGCTGACACGTTGGGCGGCACTTTTACGTTATAATTCTGGTCTGAATTCTAACATTTTTAATGGCATCTTTATTTCATTACCGTCACATCTGGTGTCTGACTTGTATTTTATTTTTTATGTCAGAACCTTGTGCAGTCAGTCAGTCAGTCAGGATCGCTGTAATTTTATTAATTACTCATCAGAAATTTTTATTTTCATCCCCTGCATAACTGACAAAGTTTTGTTGTTTTTGTTCAACATCACCAGCTGGAATCTGGAAGTTATTGAGTTTCTGAGGTTTTAATAGTCACTGTTTTGGTGTATTAGTTCATTTTTTACTCAGTAAAGATTCGGATTAAGTGTGTTTTGTAGCTTTGTTTTGATTTATGGCACCACAATATGAGTGTTCACAAAGTAAGCCTGCTTTCTTCACACCTTTCATATAATAAAAGCCGCTGAGTGCAGGTGGATCCATAATGGCACGACGGCAAGTTTATTTCTGACGGATGTAAATTTGCTCCTGATGTTTAAAATATCGATGAGTTGTAGCTCCGGTTTAATAAAAACGTTCAAACAAGAAACGTCTGATCTGTTTATCTGCAACACATTTATAGCTCACACAGTCATTAAAATTAAATTTACAGATAAACAACGTCACAGATGTGAAGCTTTTACACACGACTTACAAAAGATCAACCCTCGTGTTCCCACTGGCACTGCAGCAGTCCACCGATTCAGCAAGAAGACAAAAACTCACAGGAGAAAAGATCTTACGTTCTGTCTGATGGATATTAAGGTGATGGGAAGCAGCTCTGAAAGTGTCTGATTGCATCATTACTGACCTGATTGTCTATAAAACAGCTTTAATGCATCTACAGCAGCTAAAAAACTGTTAAAATACGGTTTAACTCGACAACTAAACAGCTTTCTGTTACGATGCAACATTTAAACTCACTGGAACAATTTCAGAACATTAAGCTCTAAACCTTGTGTGGCTGAGGTAAAGGTGGCACGCTTGAACTTTAACTGAGGACAAGATTTTCCAGTGTAGACTTTGTGAGCTGGTAAAGGTGACTCGTTTAAAGCTGCGCCGTGTCTACATCTGCTCTGATTACAGGTCCTGCCTCCTAACATCTGGTGCTACTTTATTCATCACAACACCACATGTATGGCTAATTAACCCTGCCCAGCATGGATGTCTACACTAGTTTTAATGGAGTCGTTTCGGTCGGATGCAAACACGAGCCAGATCTGTGCTCTCACAGCGAGTCACTCGGTAAACTCGGCTATCTCTGTGCCGTCCACCAGCAGAGTGTGAATGATCCCGTCTCGTCTCTTCCCGCTGCTCACGGCTTTTACGCAGCAGTTGTGGTCTCCCAGGCTGAAATGTGTCTCGGTGCCGTCGTCCACGAATTCTCCCTTAAGGCACAAATCACAAAAAACGTGCATAAGGAAAGAAATTACTTGATTTTTCTGCTTATTTACCTACCATGTACTCTATATGCATGGTAAAATCAAGTTACACTTACTGCCGTCTCGATCTTCTCTCCATTACACCACACATCCATGGTGTCTTTCTCTGAAAGAGATGATGAGCAAGTTAGTGGAGAGAAGATGTCTGTGTGTTTTATATGCACACCACCTGATCAGCTACAGGAAGCACAGTTACGAAAGGGATCAGCCGGCCCAGCTGACAGGTGCCTGTGCATGGCGTGGGGCTTAAGGCCTTTAAAGAGCTTAGTTTCAGAGGAGCATCAATCACATTCAAATAAGACAATAATCATTGGTACTGAAAACGCACAGGAGTAAGTAGTCTAAGAGCGGACTTGGATCTGGAATAACCCTCTCATTAGAACTGAACCAGCTCACCGAGGACCACTCTGCAGTCTGTGCCATCCAGGTTGAGCAGCCAGGTGCTGGTGATCTTGGATCTGTTCTCCATGTACTGCTTCAGGCTCTTCCCGTTGATCTCCAGCGTGTACTCGTATGCAAACCCGCTGACTGCGTCAATGTTGATGGTTGCTTTGGTCTCTGCCTGGCCCACGTTAAAAGTCTCCTTCCCAACCAGTTTGAACATCCAGTCTCGTCTCAGCACCTCCTGGGGATCAGGAAACAGCTGAGTGGATGTAAACACAAACAAGCGTTCCGGCCTCTCAGGTCACGTGGTTACCTGTCCATCGACGTAGATGACCCTTTTCCCTGTGGTCGTGCCATGTTCAAACTCTATCCGGTGGACTCCGTCGCTCAGAGCCACCTCCCACACTCCAGCGAGGTCGTTCGACATCCTGGCTCGTTCCAGTCCTGATGGAGGCGAATGCCAGCTGATTAGAGACACGTCCGCTTAAGCCTTCATGGTCACAGGCAGAATGAGCTAACGGTTAGCTTCTGGTGTAAAACTACCTATAAACGCGGCGGTTTTAAAGTTAACACGTAATATCATCTTTACTCTGCATCGCTAGAGTAAAGTGATACGAGTGTGTGATGGGACAGAGGCCGTCTTCATGGTAAGGCTTAACAATCAGCGAACTCGTGACGGGAACGCTGCTAAAGATAACATGCTAAGTTAAAGCTGTTTTAGTACGCACACTTCCGGTGTAAGGAATTTAATTTCAAAATTAAAGCATGAGCTGCTGAGTAAATAAGAATGCTTCATTTTTTAAATGCCAAAATAAAAAGTCGTACCGTTTTTGCAGATAATATTCTTTCAAACTCTATAATTCTAAATTATATTTCAGAGTTCAGTTGGACTGACAACGTAAAACTATTTTACTTTACCTTTTAAATAAGAGTAGTCTGATAACAGAACCAACAATGTAAAAATCTAAAGACCCATATAAACTAATTTATTCAGTATTCGCTACTCTCAGTCGGCCAGTTCACAAACTGGAGTTTTATTTTGTAAAACACCGGAAAAAGTGTTCCGTAAACCAGTAGATGTTTTACGTAATTCCACAATGTTTTCAAAACCTCTGACCGCTGATGTTACCTCTTAGTACGACAAGCAGCAAATCTCAAAGACTGTTTTAGTATTATTCCTCGTTTTACGTCGGGATTACCTCAAAAGTCGTGTAATAATCCCTGAATTCCTTGTTTTATAAGCAGCTCCCGCCGTTGAGGCGACCTGTTATTACGCTGTCACTATGGTAACGGCGCCTAGGTCGATGTGCCATCTTTATCTCCGCCCCCGCGAATAACAGGGGGTTCCGTGATCTTCCGGGCTAAAAAGCGCGTGTTGGCTGCTTTTAACCGCACACAAAAACAGGAACAGGGCGCGTTGGATCTTTTGTGAGTTACAAGGAGCAAACACGTAATGTCCGCTTCTGGGGGACCGGATTTATATATGTTTTAAATAAATGTGTTCCCCTGCTGCAAATGTTTTCTAATAATTAATATTAGTTTAATATCTGGAATAGTAAAATACCTTTACTGTCCCTCAGTGGAGGGGGAAAACATGGTAGTGATATAATCTGTATAATTTGGTGTTTTTGTTCCATTATTCAAATGAATGAAAGTACATTTTTATAAAAAGCACATTGTTTATTCATTATGCACAAAACAAGTTGGCAAAAACAAAACAAAAACAGAAGTTAGATGAGTGTATGATTACAGCACTGGTGAGAAAAACATGCTTCATTTTCTACAGAAATGCTGATGCAAAGAAAGTCATTCATCAAAGACTTGCAACACTTTGGTTGTGAAAACTGAAACTTCTTTCACCACTTCTTCCTCTTTTGGACGTTTCTGATGTGAATAAACTAAAGTTGAATATTAGGTTAAGTAAAAGTTAACGTGGTTATAAATCAGCATCCTAGACTCATTAAAGCAGATTAATTTTTACATAAAGAGCACATATGCTTTATACCGCCTTCACCCAAAGTCCAAGAATATTTTATAAAATTTAACTTAAAAGTCACAACTCTGTCATTTCATGACTTTCAATAATCGATTACATCATCGTCTCGTAAAAACCAACCAGCATCCTAAAAAGAGCCACGAGGTGGCGTCTACATCGAAAAGGAGGTTTGTTTCGACCGGATGCTGCCTGTACTGCTAGCAGAGCCCTTCCTGTACGCCACCCAGAGCCTTTTGCTCAGGAGGCCGTGTTTGTAAAGAGCAGAGAGCAGCTGGTTCCAAAACTTCTCCCCAATAAAGGCGTACAGCACCGGGTTCAAGGCGCAGTGGGTGTAGGCCAAGACTTTGGTCACCTCCAGGGTCATCCCCACCCTGTAGCGAGTTTCACACGACTTCTCGTTCAGTGATCCGCCTCTCATGAGCGTGTCGACCAGCTCGGTGATGTTGTAAGGCAGCCAGCAGAGAATGAACGCCAACACCACCGCCAGGATCACACGCATGGCCTTGTGCTTGTGCTGATTGCGGGAGTGGAACAGCGTCACCAACGTCCAGCCGTAGCAGACGACCATCACCACCAGAGGCAGGAAGAAGCCCACAGTGTGGTGCAGAACGTGCATGTTGACTCGCCACACATCACTGCTCTCACCAGTCACATTATCATAGCAGATCCACTGTTCCAGATCTTTATCGTCCATGCTCTGCCTCTTCATCGCCACTGGTAGAGACAGCAGCCCAGCGACGAGCCACACAACACCACAGACCGCCTTCACCAACAGGTGATTGGAAGACAGCCTGCGTGTGGCCCTGACGATGGCAAAGTAACGATCCACACTGATGCACGCCAGCAGGAACACGCCGCTGAACACCGACAACTCCTGGAAACCTGACAGGAGCTTGCACAAGAAGTTGCCGAAAACCCAACCGTAATGAGTTTCAGTGGCCCAGAACGGGAGGGTGACGCAGAAGAGGAGGTCCGCCACGGCCAGGTGCATCAAGTAGATATCTGTGCTGGTTCTGCTTTTCCACATGGAGCACACCACAATGATAACCAGGCCGTTGCCCAGGACGCTGACGACGAACACGATGATGTAGACGGCCATCATGCAGAGGGAATTAAATCCAGGCACAAACCTTTGGCAGGGATCGCCGCCGGCGTAATCATAGGTAAAGGTGGTGTTGTCCGACTGGAAGTTGTTGATATTAAAGAATCCATTCTGTTCATCTGTGGACAGGTTCTAGGTAAAAACGAACATTTGTTAGAAGGGAGCGCTGGAACAACAGGTCAGCTTTTTTCTTGGGAGATTTAAGGAGGATTTCGCATTAAAGAGACAAACCACTGAGGAAGATGCTCTAATTTCCAAACCAACATCAATAAATGTGTTTAATGTTCAAATCACAGATTAAGGAGCTTTAATGGTTCTAACATGCAGGTTTTAGCATCTTATCAAGCAGCTGTGCAGATTTTTATCTTGGTCTGGGAGAAATGTGATAGAAAATAAACATTTTACGAGTGTTGCACCGCTCGTTTTTTCAATGAAAGGGATCTTAGAGACGGAGCAAACATTAGTTCTGCAGGAAACTGTTGATGTTGTGCAGGAAATCACTAAGAGCTGCTTTAATAGACTGATTAAAACCCACAGCTGGGAAAGCTGATTATTTACAAACTCTTACCAGTTTCCCTATCTCACACACATGCATGGGTCTTTGCACCATTAAAGCTAAACTAAAGTAAACATTTTCAGAAGGAGATGAGTGAAATAATCCCATACCAGCTGCTCTCCCTCCTCTTGGGTTGTCAGCACCAGACCATTCAGAAGACTCACGATGAAAAGCTGTAGCTTCATCCCTCCTAAGTGGATCTTCTCACTTCACAAAGTGTGAAATTCAGAGGAACGTCTGCAGACTGCTGTGTGGCTGCTGCTCTTAGCAAACCGTGTTTCTCAAGTGAGCAAAGACACGAACCCACAGATGGTATCTCTCTCTCCGGGGGAAAGACACATAGGTTGTGTTTTTTGACTTTCTCTTAGATCGTACAGGTGGATAACGTGTGGCAGGACGTCGATTTGTTCAATATGCAAAAACAAAGTTCACACTGACTTTAATGTGTTTGCAGAGCTTTGAGAGAACCTAAATGTTAAATGAACGCATTCAGATAAATGCGCCGCAGCACAACCGGGACAACAATACAATCCCAGAGTCCTGCGTGAGAAAAGTGGGTTTTTGCAGCTTTTGTCTCGCGTGTGGTTTGGTGTTTTGTGCTTTTTTTGTCGTAGTTGTGTCATGTGCTTCGTTTCCTTGAAGGCAGATATAGATCTAATGATTTATCCTTAAAGACATTTCAGAAAATCAGTCTCCTTGTTGAAATCAGCTGTTTGGGTCTCTAACCTGCTCGTTTGTCCCCTTTCAGCTAAACTGAATTATCCTTCTGCTGCAAACATCTTTCTGATTTTTCAGTCACACTGGCAGCTACTCACAGATGTGAGAACAGCTAAATTAAATCTAAGATTAGGACAGGTGCATGGGTTGATCAGTGAGGGTGACTTGCAGGAAGTGTTCGTTGCACAGCGTGTGCAGGGTTTAGGTGCGGTTAATATAAAAGGTCTGAATTTGAATTTGTGAATGTTTCTGAATGCACCAATCAGGGTAGATAAAAATTGTTCTGTCATTAGAAAATTAACAAACGTATGATTTATAAATGATTTTCCTGAACTGCGCTGAAACATCAGTAGCCCAGAGGGAGGGCTGGTCTGAAAGTGAGAAACCAAACGTTGTTTTCCTGGTTCCTGCTCTCCAGTCCAGACACACGGACACTGAAGGCATTTAGTGGATTACGAAACAGAAACACGACAGGAGGAAGTTTCGAGATGTTGCACAACTGCGAGAAACATTTTTAAAAGTATGCTATCTAAAAACAGCAGCAGTACGTCTTGGCTCCTCTTTTTCTCTTCAAAAAAACTTTTCAGTTTTCAAATCTCATGTTTAGACTTCACTAAAATAATGATTTCCTAATTTCTAGCTCCGATGATGACTGCCTTGCTGTTCACACTGAAAAGCCTATGAATCTTTTTAAAGTGTCACCTTTATCCTTTTGGATTTGTTTTCTGGTGTTTGGCTCATTTATTGTCATTTTTTTACATTTATTGTAATTTTGTTACATTTATTGTCATTTTTTACATTTGTCTTTTTTTACATTTATTGTCTTTTTTTTACATTTATTGTCATTTTTTTACATTTATTGTCATTTTTTACATTTATTGTCATTTTTTTTACATTTATTGTCATTTTTTACATTTATTGTAATTTTGTTACATTTATTGTCATTTTTTACATTTGTCTTTTTTTTACATTTATTGTCTTTTTTTACATTTATTGTCATTTTTTTACATTTATTGTCATTTTTTACATTTATTGTCATTTTTTTTACATTTATTGTCATTTTTTACATTTATTGTCTTTTTTTACATTTATTGTCATTTTTTTACATTTATTGTCTTTTTTTACATTTATTGTCATTTTTTTACATTTATTGTCATTTTTTACATTTATTGTCATTTTTTTACATTTATTGTCATTTTTTACATTTATTGTCATTTTTTTACATTTATTGTCATTTTTTACATTTATTGTCATTTTTTTACATTTATTGTCATTTTTGTACATTTATTGTCATTTTTTTACATTTATTGTCATTTTTTACATTTATTGTCATTTTTTTTACATTTATTGTCATTTTTGTACATTTATTGTCATTTTTTTACACACTTCAAGCACAGAAAATCTCTTTATTGAGAAAAAGGCATTTTTGATGTTTTACCATTTGTACAGAATACAGGTTCTGGTCATAAAATTAGAATATCATGACAAAGTTGATTTATTTCACATTTTTCCACCACGTCTTGTCCTTCTCTTTGCTTTAATGTGCTCGGACACAGAGCTCTGTGACCAGCCAGCCTCTTTAACCTTTGTGCCATGCCCTCCTTGTGCAAGGTGTCAATGGTCGTCAGAATAGCCTACATACAGAACTAGACTGCGAGACAATTTAAAGGCGTGTGCAGGTGTTTTGAGTTAATTAGCTGATTAGAGTGGTCTTCAATATTGAACCTTTTCACAATATTTTAATATTGTGAATTTGGGATTTTCAGTAGTTGACCGTTATAATCATCAACATGAAAGAAATACACATTTGAAATACATCAGTCTGTGTGTGATGAATGAATCTAATAACAATTTTCACTTTTTAAATGTAAGTACTGAAATAACTTATTCATGATCTTCTAGTTTGATCACCAGCACCTGTGGTGAAGAAATTTTAAGGCTTGTTTGTAAATAAACATTAAAATCTGCTGACTTTTAAATAAATCTCACATGTTTGTGGTTATTTCAATTCAATTCAAGTTTATTTATATAGCGCCAAATCACGACAAGAGTCGTCTCAAGGCACTTCACACAATAAAAATTCCAATTCAGGACAGTTCATTAAGACAATCAGAAATAATGTTTCCTATATAAGGAACCCAGCAAATTGCATCGAGTCACTGACTAGTGTCGGTGACTATACAGCAATCCTCATACTAAGCAAGCATGCAGCGACCGTGGAGAGGAAAACTCCCTTTTAACAGGAAGAAACCTCCAGAGAATCCTGGCTCAGTATAAGCAGCCATCCTCCACGACTCACTGGGGATCGAGAAGACAGAGCACACACACACACACACAC